GTTATAAATCTTGGGGTGTGGCAGTAATGGTCTTAGGAACACAATGCAAGTGTACAAATTTCTTTGAAAAATAAAATACCCATGTTTAATGTTTCAAAAGTGATTTCTATGGTAAAAAATGAGCCATGTATTGTAAATTGGTTCATCACTGCAAATAGAGAATCCATACCCTTTGGGCATCTTTAGAGGGCCACACTCACAAAATGTTTACTTATATCAACCCTTGGGGCACTTCAAATGGGCTGTGGCATGAGATTGTACTATTGAAAATTGGCAAACTCAGCAACACTCCTGCTTCATGTCCTGCTAAAGCTTAGGCAAATAATACTTTTCCTCCACCAATGCTATGTTTTTGGATTGCCCAAAATGGTCACCAAGATTACCACCGTGCGACTCCATAATTATGTTTATTGCAAAAACCTGTTGGGAATGCATGTGTACGGTAACATAAATTGCCATCCTGCAACATATATTTAAATGAAGGTTCATTGCCTTGCCTGCACCTTTCCCGTAGAGGCCTAACAAGGGGTCATCAGCATATTGGGTTTTTGAGCATCTCAAACCCAATGACTCTAGGGGTTAAAGTTATGGTAATAATAGATTATCGACTTAAAGTATCAGGTACTTGTTAATGAACACCAAATTTATGCTCAAGGACAAATTTTTACTTGGAAAGAAAGCCACCCATGTAGCATGATGATTGAGCTTTCTTTGTGAGTTGAGGCATCAAAGGGACTTCATGATTGGAGCACAAAACAAACATAATTTGAATGAGATAATTCATTCAATGCTTACCGCTTGCACAATGGCACGAAATTACCTTTCATAGACAATATGGGTCCTTGCAATATTCAATTTTTCATTAGAAAATGCAATAGACCGTCCCTCTTGATGTAGAACAGCACCTATCCTGATATGAGGCATTACAATCCACCTCCAAAACTTCCTTAAAGTAGCAATGCTAGCACCAGTGGCACTTTAGTTTTCTTTTATAAAGCCCTATAGTTTTAAAAGCTGCCTTCCATTCATGAGTTGGGCACATCCAGATTTGATGCTACCTAGGAGAAGATAAAAGCATTGGACATGTTATCCACCAATCTCTTAGGTCTATTTTGGAGAAGATAAAAGCATTGGACATGTTATCCAACAAATCGTCAAGTTTAGGTATTGGAAAGCTGTATTTGATGGTTATCTCATTGATAGCTCTGTTGTCCAGACATGTATGCCATGATTTCATTTTTCGGTTAAGAGGTTGGGATAGCACAAGGTCTCATGCTTTCTCAAGCTAGCTCATTCTTTAACAACTGATCCACTTGTCAATGTAGCTCCCCATGTCCTTTTGGGCTCATCTATTTAAGGCTAAACTAGGCAAACTTGAATGCTGATTTCTCTTGTTGAAGGCAAATCATAAGTAATTCATCCAGCATCATATCTTTAAATTCTTTCCGAGTTGTTCTGTGAGCCTTATTTATGACGAAGGAATATATGATGCCAGCTTGCTTAATCTCTATAAACTACTGCATAATAAAAAGGTTGGCATACTTTCCATTTTAACTTTGGGTTGTTCATCTTCTTTTAGAAATAGGACAGTCACCTTCACAGTGCCCTTCCAAAGCATGCAAGTATTCTTAGATCCATTATGAATGGTTTCGCAGCTTGGTTTCGCAGCTTTCGCTGTCATATTGCCATGGTTGTCCAAGAAAAATACGGCATGCATCAGCAGGACCTATGTTTCGCTAAACCTTACCTGAATGAATTTTAGCTGTGGAGAAAGGAACAAGGCATCTCTTAGTAAGGAACTCAGTACCTTTCTTTAACTAAGAAATCTTGTAGGGCAGTGGGCATTTCCCAAAATTCAGCTTTAGGTTGTCCACCATGTCCATTGCTACCATATTTTCACATCTTGTGCTACAAACCTTCCCAATAGAAGTGCATCATGCGTGGAAGCTATTAGTTCTCAACCAATGGTCTTCTTTAAATCTAGGGATAGTTATCACGTGCCAAACAACGAAGTACTTAACACTATTGGCACACTAATCAGCTTCTTGCATGTCTGTATATGTTCATCAACTTTGCTTTTCATTTCTACTTCTTCGTCCTCATCACCATCAACTCGTTCATAAGCTTGCGGGTCAAAGGGCCTTTTTGTGCATTTTGATGAACAGTGGCCCTGTTCTCCACAGTTGAAGCACTTGAATGTGGCTCCTCAATGCGGCCTATTAGCAATTACATGACCTTGACCAGTACTCCCTCGTTGACTGTTTGGTTGGGCACTGGGTCGATTAGGGTAAGACCTGCCACTTTTGATCCATTAGGGCCTCGAGGTCGAGCTTGGTTCTCCTTGGTCACCAAAGTTGTCATCAAAGTTCTCTTTTGATGCTCTTCGACTTCCACAGCAAGTTGGTAGGCATCATCCCTTCAAGGGGTGTGAAGGGGGACTTGATCTTGAATGGAGAGATGTAACCTGCTAACATGGCAAGTAACAGACTGCTTGTCAGTCTCTCTCAAGTCAATTTGGGTCATGAACTGATAGAAGTCCTCTCATGCATGGATTTGTTACCTTGCTGGAGATTATTTAATCTCTGAAATAGGACCTGATTGCAATCAGATGGGATGGGGTTTTGTGCAACTTGCCTTGCGTCTTGTCCCATGAAGAAATCTTATCTTTGACTTTCCATTTGGACTTGCTTCCACCAAAGCAAAGCATGTCCTCTCAATTTCAAGCTCACAGACTTAGCCTTATATCTTCTGGCAACTCCCTCCTTCCATAAATTATTCAATGTTTCTAATTAATCTAGGAATTCATCGAGTTGTTAGCTGGCATGGAAATAATTCCATGATAAAACTTGGTTCTAAGGCCCTTATGTGATTATTCTTAATTCGATTCTCCTTTATTCCTGAAGGAGCTTTTGAATTTTCAACTTCGTCATCCCATCCAACCTTTTCCAATGTGGTTGGAAGGGGTTCATGTCTATGTTCTGAACCATGAAGGGATGAAGATTTACATTTTCATGTGGTCGTTCTTGTGCTTCGCGATGCAGCATAAGCTGCATTAATTAATCTATTTGTTGTTGGAGACCTTGGAAGCCTTATCACCATCCTCCTTGCCCTCCTCTTTGTTTGGCATGAACTCCTTTTGCTTTCATTGCACTCTCGAGATCGAAGTGGCCGCAAGTACCACCCTGAATCAATTTCCTCTGATTCCAAAATGATGTAAACCAATAGAAAGGCATTTTTCTTGTTAAAATCAATGGACACCAATGGTAACAGTAAACATAAGCTCGATGGAAGGAAGACTCAACAAGGAACGAAATAAAGACAAAAGTTCCGAAAGAAATTATTCAACGTACTAGAGAGATCAATCAACAACTAGGAGGGAGCTCAAAAGAAGCTCTACACGTTTTAAAATTGTTCAATATTTAACACAAAACTGAAACTTTGTCTTACCATGACGCCCCCTTAAATAAAATGCTCCAAAATTTTTCTGCAAGCTTTCTTTTTACTGTAATTGGACACCCAATTTATTTATCAACTCGTGGGTCTTTCCCTATTCATGGGGAAAGAAACCTATCTGTAGCAAACTGGAAACCGTGCACGGTTTCCCCAAAAATGCATGCTCCTAATGCGTGACACAACTCCCAAAATCATGAAGACAATACCCAAAACAAATGCATGTACTATTTCAGAAGTAAGCATGCACCCACATATAGCATCAGTACTAAAATATCCAAGTTTAGGAGCTTTGCATCGCTGAGTGAAACCAGCTCTCTCAGTCAAGTAATGTAAAGACTCAGCTGGTTCTGTTCAAAATCCAGGGCATAATGGGGAGACACGGATTTTGAGTCGACATGATGAGCTATAGAACATTGGTGTACAGTAACTACATTGGAGAGTAGGTGGAGGAAGGGCATTATCGTCGCCCATATCCCTCAAATATGGATGAAGTTGCAGATACATTCACCAAATGCACTGGGAAGGATTCTATAAACTCTAAATCACTAGAAGTGAATGCTTGATCTACATTCCTATTGACCAAGGGATTGGTAAAAAAAGTAGTGTCTGTTTGCTGCAGGACACTATTGGAAATGTCTTTCTCTTTCTTACTTTCTTATGAAGTGAATGGAAAATGAGTTAGGCATTGTTGATGTTTCCTTTTATTTCAAGTGATATTATTAGTAGTGTAGAATATCATTTCTATGAGTGTTCTCTAAAGGCATTAAGGGCAACCAAATTGCCATATGACTTTCAGTGACTAAGTAGGGAGTTTTCTCGTAGTGCTTTGCATCAAAGTTTTTAACAAGTCTTTGATTGCATATATGTATGTATATGTGCATGTGCACACGCACTTACATGCGTGAGCAGGCACATGCATGCAGGTGAAATGCTTTCAAGCTCCTAAAACCTTGGATCTATTATTCCCCAAATGGATGGTTCAGAGTCAGCCTTGAAAGGGAAATGATTTTGATAATTTTTGAGCTCCTAATCATTCTTTTTTATGGAGTAATCTTGGGGATCATCAAAGTCAACCTTTTCTCAAAAAAAAAATCTTGGGGATCATCAAAGATGATCTGGAAACTTTCTAATAAAACGACCCATCTAACCATCAATAATTTACCATCTATTCAAACAAGGTTTCTGTTTGTCGGCCTACTCATCTATTCATATAAGTCCTCTTTCTAAAGTCCATCTTAGAGATGGATATTGGATTAAAAAAATTTAGAGGTCAATAGTCTGTGCCGTGGTGGTTATGAATATAAAATAAAAATTATTTTTTAAAAATAAAATAATAGTTTTGATGTATTTTTCTAGGCCATTGATTTATGGATTTTCGTGGGACCGCCACCTTTAACATCCATCTTTAAGATGGATGCTAGTTGTGTCAAGGGATGGACATGTAGAAGTGCATCCCCTTACTTGTGCTACACTTTTCCTAATAATAATAGCACGTTTACTTTAGTTGCATTTGTGCATATTCTGAGATTTTATCTTTGGTTCATCAGGCTTCTGAGTTGCAAACAAATATGATGGAAGCAATGGAAGCTGTTGACATAGAGAAGCAGAAGCATAATAGTACCAGAATGGAAGCCCTTGCTTGCTTGGCTAAATTAGAGGTTTTGAATAGCGAATGTTGCTTTAGCTTTTTGTGATCATTCTATATATTTTATTATAATTTATATGGTATTGTTTTCCTTTTTGCCATCACAATGCGCTATGGTTAGTAGAATTAATAATGCAACAGTATATCAGGAATATTTAGGTATTTATATCATATAATTGTTGCAGACTACAAATGCAGAACTTGCAAAATCTCTTGCAACAACGCAATGGAAGCTTGAGGTTGAGGTATGCCGAGCTTCACTAAATCGTTGCCATTTTCTTTTCTGCAATACTTGATGAGTTTGTCGCAGCTTTGAAGTGGATTTTAACTAATGAAACCCAACTTAGTCCGTGTTAGACAACTTAAATTTTTCATCTGCTCAATTACATTTTCCACTTCTTTCTTCTGGTAGCTCTGTGTTGGGGGCCTTACTGTGATATTTCTGGTACCTGGCATTTTTTATTTTTCTCTTTATCTTATTATTTTAGGCATTTTTTTACCAGATATGTACTAATTAGTCCAATGTGTCGGCTACAGGGTTGTTATTGCCTTCTGCTTGAGGGTTTGTTATGTCTGAAAGTGTAGTAAAGAGATTTTTTTGAACATGAACCGAATAAAAAATAAATCAGAGAAGCACACGTTGAAGGGACAAACTCACTCGAGATAGCATAAGAAATCAAGAACTTTCGTTGGGGCAAGCACTCATGATACACTCATTTAGTTTACATCCGGTCTTTTATATAGAAAGGGCCACCTTTATCCATGATTACAAAGACATACAGAGACTCAAGAAAGAAAAAAAACAGGAAAAAAAGACCTTCTCATACAGAAACTCTAATTTTCAGATACATCCTGTGTACCTTGCGTATGATGAGGGAGTCAAGCTGGTTTTCTCTCTATAGAACTCCTTAAATTTTGCTTCGATGTGGGATTCAATTCTCTCTATCTCTTTGGAAGTTATGAAGATTCTCTATATCAAGGAAGCTCTCACAGAGCTTTGGCTCTGAATCAACAAGATTATAGCTTGAGATCTTAGTTAGACTTGTTTCAAAATCATGCTCAACGCACCCTTTTTATATCGAGGGTTAAGGCTTGATGAGCAAGGAAGAACCTTCATTGATTTAGGAAGTATTCCTTTGTTAAATCTTCTGCTTCTAGAGTCTTCTGTCTTCAGGAGACACAAGAGGATGATTTTCTGGATATTACATGCCTTATCAAATGCATAACATGCTACTTATGCATCAAAAGACCAAATATGGAAAGTTTTCCGTGAAGCTCTACTTGGCCTGAAAACCAGCAAGCTTGTTCACAAAATCATTTCCTTTTGGGAAGTCTTTAGTCACTGTCATGGATTAAACTTGACTGGCCATCAAAATATCGATCTAATAGTTTTTGTTGCACCCAGAATCTTGATGTATATCTCAAGATTTTTAAATATTAAGTTGCTTTCCAAGACAAAGTTCAAGTGTATCAGAACTTTGCAAATTCCTTCCAATCTTGAATATAAATTTTCAAAACGGGTAAATTCTCCATAAATCACCGTCTGATGTATTTTCCATGATATCTGTAATCAAATTGCACTAGATTTTTCCATATTTTTGAAAAATCTTCAATTTGGTTTCAAAAGGGAAAACCTTCTTTGTTCTTGCCCTAGTCTCATCAATTTACGTCAAACCTTATCATAGTTGATCAATCAAATTCTAAATATCCTCTCCAAGGTGTCATCTTCTTGCAATCTTGAGCCAAAAAGCACAAACCCAGTAGTTCACCTTGAGGCATGAGCTAAGACATAGGGCTCGTGGTGATCTTTCCAGAACCCCACAATTTTTCCATGAAATGTAATGTAACATGTTCTACACACTATCCAGGCCTAAACAAGCCTCTGCAAAGTTGCACTATCTAGAATTGCAATTTACTCCTCATTCAAAATTGTCCTCCGTGTGTCTATGTTTGGCTATGCGTGTCTTGCAATGAACTTTTGGCAAGCTCATAAATGCTCAACAACTCATGGAGAAATTACGATTAAGCTTGAAGTATCATACTCAATAAGCTTCATTTATTTTTAACATCCATGGCTAGGCCATCCGTTGCTCACCATGAACTTTCAAACCTTCATCAAATCTTTCCAAGCTTGATGAAACTTCTCAAGCTTTCTAATTGTATCATACCAAGCTCTCCACCAAGTTACAACATGATTGGGCATAATTTGGGCCACGAACCAAAAGTTCACTGTGAGAGTGCTCCTCACATTTGTGTGGCTCACAGTGAATTTTGGTAGACCCTTGAAGCCACTTCCAAATCTTATTATTTCTGTCAAATAACCATGGAATCCAAGCATTCCCCAAAGTTTGCGACCATGTGGACTTCATTTGGTCTAGATCCAAAACGTTCACCACCAGGGGCCTATGCATGGACTAGGCTCGTGATGGACTTTGGAAACCCATCAAGATGGACTCTGAACTTCGTCAGTTTTGGAGTCGAAGTTTATACTACTATTCAGGAGTATATTCACAGTTCTGATTTTTATAGAACTGCTTATTATGACCTTCTGAGTCCATGACCATTTGGATATTTCCTGATTTATAACTATGTCTGGGCTCTTTTACAAACCACACCCAAACAATATTCTTTTCTAGGATCATAAGTAAATAGCTAATATGGCAGTTGACTTCCCTCAAAAAATAAAAATAAAATATCGATAGCCAATATGGGAGTTGAAAAGATGTTTCCATGTTTACATGGTTGTTTGAGCCCCTGCCATTGTGGAAAGTCTAGCTGAGTCCTTTTAATAACGTCTATGTGTTGGAGCAATGGAATTGCAGTTCACTATTGAATTATTTTTCTTAATTTTGACTTTTGGAGATTCGGGATAGTCATTGTATTTGGATTTAAATGAAATGCCATAAGGTACTCCTCTAGTTGTTGCCTTGTGCCATTCGATTTAAGATGTCGTTTGACTATACGGGATGAGGCTCGTGTTGTAAGGACTAAGGATTATTGTGTGCATTGGTTCTCAAGGGAACAACCTAAGTTGGCTGCTGTGCACTGGTGTTATTTTCACCATAGTTTGAACATATTAATATTTGGAACCATATCTACGCTTCCTTTCTGCATACGCAATTGTTACTGTCCATATAGGGTTTTCCGCACAAGATGATGTGGAATTCACTCTTTTTCTCTATCAATGGGGTATGTTTTTGGTGTTCCTCTCTCTCAAATCTTATCTTAAACTGGATTTAGGATTTCTATAGATAACCCTTTATATGTTATTGAGATAGAAAAGGAATTACATAGGTTTTACATTGTCAAGCTTAAAGCACCTGTCCAGTTGATCTGGTGCAAATATCATGTGCAAAAGCTTTTTCCTCTTTCAGGTGCTCTTATTCCATAGAAAATGCAATTAGGTTGTCCTTTTGCAATTCCTTTCCTCCATAGGTTCTTAATACTTGATATGGACGTCAACAGGTTTAGGAGCCTTTAAGTGGTCGATATGTGTACTTCAGAGTGCCTTTTTTAGGTTAGTAAGCTTGTGTGGTTTAAACCCTTGACCTTACATTCCTAACACCCCTGACTTACATTGCAAACTTCACAGTGCCTTACATCATCAAATTGAACAGTGTGCTGTAGGTGGGTTGTATTGAAATTCTTTTAACACAAACATCCACATATTTTGATGCTTAGCTCTGTTGAGTCTACCTCTCAGGCCTCAAAAAACTTCCATTCCAAGCTGAATTACATCAGAATGGAGGGTCTTTTATTAGCTGTAACTGTGTTGTATCTTCTGTTTTGATGAATTTTCTTTTGTTTTAATGAATTGTCTTGTTTTGATGAATTATAACTGTGTTTTATCTTATTTTCATATTTCTTCGAAATAAAAGGTCCATCGTGTAGCAGAACTTCGACAGGAGATTGAATCAAAGGAAGCAGCCCAGCAAGGTATATACTTCATGAGTATGGAATTAAAATTCCATGCATACATTCGAACGAACTGATAAGTTCATATTTTAGCCTAAGTTGCAGTGCATAGTGCTGATTTGTTGCAATCTGTTGACATTTGTGTAAGCTGCTTGCATTTTGCACATTCACATACTGGTATTGACTTTTTGCTAGTGGTTCATAATCATGTAATCTTCACCTGTAATGTGGATGAGTTGTTTCTGTGCAAAGTTATTTTTGGTTGTTGGAACTTGATCATATCTATCTGCATATTTTGATGAGCCTTTGCCCAAATTTTATCCTTATTAGTTCATTTTGCAGATAGTTCTCCTTAGAAATTTTTAGGGGTGGCAACAGGTTAGGTCTGACCGGACCCGGACCAGGACCAGGACCCGGACTCGGACCCGAACACAACCGGTCCTAACTAGACCCGAACTCGATTGGACCCGACCTAAAAAAATATCTAAATAAATATAATATTTATATTAAGTATATACATGTTTATCTACATATTATATAACTAAAATATATAATTATATTTATTTAAATATTATTCAAATATTGCAGATTATATATTATTTAAATATTAACACTATGTGGATTGGGCCGGTTGGGTCCGGGTCAAGTCTACATGGACCCAGGCCGGACCCGAATAGTGTTTAGATCCAATATTTGAATCCAGACCCGACCCACTGGGTCCAATTTTTGGACCCATACCTGGATCGGGCTCGGGTCCGGTTGTCAAGTCTTGGGTCTGCTCCAGGTCTGCTGCCACCCCTAGAAATTTTGCTACATTCTTTTTGTGTATGGTCGACAATCATGCTAGTTTTTTCTTTCTTTTCATAGAGATATTGATTTTTGTAAATTCCTGTAGAAATTTTTTTTTTGGTTGGGTGTTCTGAGAATTATATGAATTGCTTTATGAATATCATAAAAATATGAGAATTTTCCCCCCTCTGATTTAAATTGGTTTGAAGAAGAAGTGAGTTTTTGGGTTGGAGATTTCTTCTGGTGGTTCTTTACTTTGATTGTTATTGTATAAAGTACATTAATTTATGACATTTTTTGGCTTAGCAATAAGGCACAAGCCTGATAATTTTGCCAATTAATTTGCTTGAGAAATTTCAGTATAATTATTTTTCTGGAAGAATATAAATTCAAAGAGATGCCAGAAAAATGGGAAAGTTGTAAAAGGATTAGTAAATTGGATTAACAATGAAAAAAAAAGAAAAGCCAAAAGATTTCCTACTCTTGCAGGAGTATATTGTCCATTTTTTCCCTTGGGCAAAATCTGATGTAGGCATTATTTTAGGACCCTAAATATTGAGGATATGATATCTTCAACCCACATACTCTCCTCAATGAAAAGGATTTGCAAATTGCTCTGTGTACGCTCATAAAGAAAGAGATGTCTCAAGATTTAACAGAGGCTGTCCATTTTTTGGTGGGTGAGATCTATGTGTTAACGAACTCAAAATTCAAAATTTTTCCTTTGTAAATAATCATCTAGTGACTCTTATGTGATTCTCAAAATTTCAGATTGAAAAAAAATCTCCCTTGTAGGTCTTCTGACCGAGTGAGTAGATGTACAATATATGTTCCTGAGGGAGCATAGTATACATACTCAAAAAAAATTTCAAGAAAGAATAGTTTTTAGCATCTCTAAAATTAACTCATTTCTGTCTCAAACCCCATAAATTTTGAAAGTGACAAGTAGTTAATTGTTAAACAAAGTCTAATAGTTGATTGATTGATTTTATAGTTCAACATTCATCTTTGAATTATCAATCTTGAATCAAACATTTGAACTCGTCATTCATCAAATAAAAAAATTATAAACCTAGAATGTCGCTTTCAAAGAAAATTAGGATTTTGCTTGGGTTCAAGAAGTATTGCATGATGGAAGTATTGGATATATGGCCTTTCAAGACCTTATATGGAATGCCAACACTGTTCAGAGTCACAGTGGGAGTGACCAGGAACATAGTGGCTACCAGAGTCTTTGTGTGCTGGGATCCAGATAGGCCAAAATAACCCCGTTTTGATTGAGGCAAGTTCTTGAAGCGTGTTGTGAATAGAGAGGTTTTACGATTTTTCCTCTAGTTAGGGTCGGTATGACTGGTTTCTCCTCATGTCGTGTAAGCCAGGGCTTGGGGATTAGTGAATCCCCGTTTGTTTGAGGTATGTTATGTATAAGCCCTGTGTGAGCATAGCTGGGCTGTAAGAGGACATGAGCCCAAATCCATGACATGTGAAGCTTGCTCACATCATGTGCATAGACAGTCGTATTTTAGGAAGCCGTTCTGATATGGTAAGCTTCAGCTATCAAAACTGTGCACGTGTGCTGAGAGAGGACCTTCGTATCCGCAAGAGTCCATGTCCTTGGGAGGCACTTGTAATCCACAAAACACCTTAGAATTCGTGCAACCCTCGGTTAGTTTTGATAGGTCCACTCATGTCCGGACTGAAGTTTGTGATGCATAGGGACCTTTTGGGCTGGTTTGAGAAATTGGATTAGGTTTTTGGGTATAGCCCAATGGAGTACCACACAGATCGATCTCCTGTGGAATTGAGGTTTTCCACCCCAGATTTATGAGAAGTGTCAGACACTAATGTTTTGATAAGAAATGATAAAAAATGATTTACCAGGATTTTAGATAACCCTAATGTTTTTATAAGAAGTGATAAAAAATGATTTACCATGATTTTAGATGATTTTTGAAAATTTTATTTCATAGGAAAAATACTTTGACAAATTTGTTGTGTAAATTCCAATTAAGGGCATCTGCACATATGGCATGTGGCACATAAATGGCCAATGTGTGTCACACGTGCATCCCATGGGGCAGCCACGTCATTGCCCAATGGACATGACATGAAAACCCTAACCTTAGGCGTGGAAGCCCTTGCTTGGATGTGACACATAACTTTGACATAATGATGTCATGTCCCCCCCTTTGATAACGACCCCATGTGTGATTGAAGCTTCACATTAATTGAAACAAATGGGTGGCACGCCACCCCAATTGGAGATTTGAAAGGGAGATATTTTATTAAGGGTTGTGATTTATTGATTGAAAAATCAATGATTAAGATGAAGTTGTTTTTGAAAATTAAGGTTTCCAGGGCACTTAAGAAATTATTGAAAATGTGTGGAGGTGTTATGTCGGTATGGTGATAAAGGTGTATTCAATCATCGCCATCCATGTGATAGCCATCAATGGTGATTGACTAGGCTAAGTCTTTATCCTCTCTCAGCTATTGGATCACTCAATGGGTGGTTATATCTAATCTAATGTTTACATCCCACATGAAATGTTTATAAATATGACCTCCTCTCATTCCATTCACACTTGAATGGTTTTAAATTGAATCACCTACCTCTCCTCGCCAAAGCCTCATGCCTCACTCAAATACGTCTTTTCTTTGTCATGATTTTGTGTTAGTTGTTCTTCTTGTTTAAGGCACACCTTTTATGTCACACCCCAAGTTTTATAATATTAGAATTCCTGAGATGTCACAGTCCATTCTTAAAGAACAACAAAAAAACAAATTTGAAAGTTTCACTAAATATTACATCAAAACAAAATTTCCACTTACCTTTTTGATTTGTACAACGTTTTTTGCAAGAAGATCTATGTGTATATACAACTGTAATAAAACAAAAATACAAAATGGAATTCATCCATGACTACAACCTTCTTCCAACTACTTCTGCTGTACATACGAACCATGTGGCTGCGATTGTTCTGAAAAACATTTCAGAATAGTTTGATGAGTTTGACAACGCAGTAAGTGACCATCATTATCCCCGCAAATCATGTTTAGAGAGTGTAAATATTTTCTAAACGAACATATATTAAGCAGAATTTTGACATACTGATTTCATGCATTCTAATATATGCTATTAGACATATTCGCTTCTAATCTTACACATATCCTGTATTCCTTATTAAACAAAAAAAATAAGCATAATACATCGACCATATGCACGTGATCATATCAAGATCATATTACTACAATCAAGTATCAGATGTGGTCAAATAAGTATTCATAATAACAGAAGTCCTGCAATAGAAGCACTAACCTCGAGTTCCAGGCTTTGTTTCAAGGTTAGGACTTCTATTATCTCACAAGATGAAGCACCACCAACGGGTAAATCTATTGCATAGTACCTCACACACACACAAAACCCCAACGTGCATTGGGGCTTTTGATAGGCACTGACCTTGCAAGACACGGCCCTCTCATGTGCCCTTCTGGCGAGAGAGCGTTACACTACCAAAAGGAGTCCCAATGAGTAGTGCCTCACATAAATTTTGGGGGTGCGACGTCCCAAACACAACCCAATCCTAACTTTTGTCCTATCATAGAGAATAAGGATAAATCACAACTGCCGGCATAAGTATCTCATAAGATCATAACAGAGTCATATCTCCATACGCTCATATTTTATTGATAGCATGTTAACATGCACACCTATTTTATTAAAAGCATGCTGCTTTGCATATATATCTTACCAGAAGCATGTTGCTATGTACACATATCTTATCAAAAATATGTCTCATATGTAATTACAAGGAACCTCAACATTTCTATGCTGTACATATAGTCACGAGGAGCATCACTATGTCATATTATCATGTATATCAGTTCAAAAGACCTTATATGTCAATTGTAGGCTATTTATCAATGTAGTAGATGTCAGACAACAATGCTTTTCCATAAAATAATTCAAAGTAATTACTTGCACCTAACACCTGTACATAACCCCTGCATATAACACCGTATAATATTTGCATATATATGACATTTTCAGTATCTAATATTTATGCTACAGATATTATAGTTATATATGGAGGTACATAAAACTTATAGTTTCAGAGATATTATGATTACATGCAGAATTATTTCTGGAAATACTATAGGAACATCAGTTTTCTTCAAATAATGATTTTGCAAGAAAAATGAAGCCACTTACCTATGGGTCACTTTGAGAT